TTTTGAAAGGTTGTAAAAAATCATTTTGTTTTATCATTAAACAAGATGGTTCTTGTTTTTATATTCTGATATACCTTATCTTTAACCAACTATTTTTTTCTTTATCATTTGTAATTTTCCGGTTAGTGATTTTCTTTTCAATATTCATCACGCCCAAAAAATCTTCGATGGACATTTATGTGACTATCAGTGGCCTCTTCTTTCTGCAAGAATGCATTATCTCGATGTAATCATCTGGTGTGTACAATCTTTGCTGTCGTTTAAGAGATGACTCAATGTCACTGAAGTCAGTATCGTTTGGCAGAAAAATATGACCAGAACAAAGATATTTTACGGTAATGCTTTCTAAGTTCGTATGTGTACCATGTAATATTTAAGAATAAGTATTAACTTAATATTTTGATTCTGCCCGCTGCGCCACAAGAATCACACTATCCACTATCCACTATCGATTCGGGAAAATCCCCGTACACGGCCTTCAAAAGAAAGAAGAATTAAAGGAACTGGGAGGAACAACAGAACCAACTCCTAGTACTTCCAAAGATGAGACTGATGTGGAGAGCATAGAGAGCCTTAACCTCTCAAATCTCTGCGTAGACTCATCTGAGGATGTAGAAATTGATGAAGAAGCAGAAGAGGGGGATATGGAACGCACCCTCACCGATGGGGACAACACCCCCCATTAAAGGAGATAAAAATGGCGGGCATCAACATCGCCCAAGTGAATATCCATCACGCCAAGGGAGCCTCGGCTGTGATATCTAGGACATTCACTAAAGATCAATTAGGGATCGTATTGATCCAGGAACCGTGGGTCTATGGAAACCAGGTAAGAGGACTTGCATGTAAGGATGCAAGGGTAATTTATCACACTAGTGATGAAGTACCCAGAACATGCAAACATGCATAATGGTAAGAGGTAATATTAAATATTCTTGTCTTTCAGAATTCATGACGCGCGATCTCGTTCCAATTCGAGCATACCTGGAATTAGGGATGAGGCGGCACGACATAGTAATAGCTTCTAGTTACTTCGCTGGAGATGGGCATGTACCACCCCCGGAAGTATCGAGGCTAGTGGAGTACCTACTGCCAGAGAAGACATCTGCCATTACTTCTTGGATGCGACGCCAACGCGCACAGCACTGTATGGGGAAGCAACGACACCAATCAAAGAGGTGAGCAACTTTTAGAATATATTTTTAATAAGAACCTTATTGTGCAAAATATTGGGAATACTCCAACATTTGTAACAAGGGCAAGAAGTGAGGTATTAGACATCACATTAAGCACACCGAGCATTAAAGATCTAGTTAAAAACTGGAGGGTACCGAGTGAACCATCTCTATCTGATCACAAGATAATTGTGTTTACGTTAGAGAGCGACATTCCTGAGACGATCCTCAGGAGGAATCCTAGAAAAACAGACTGGGACAAATACAACACCATTCTAAAACAAAATTTAGCACGTATCCAGACAAAAAAGGAGCCGGGGCATCCACTTGCTCTGGAAAGCGATCTCAAAGAACTAAATGGGGCAATACTTGAGGCATATGAATCAAGCTGCCCAATTCAAAGAAATAGGACTAGTAGGGATGCTCCTTGGTGGAACCGTCATCTGTCAAACTTACGATCCGAAGTGCGGAAGCTCTATAATAGGGCCAAGCACAGCGGAGATTGGCAGAGCTACACCGAGGCGCTTACTACCTACAACAAAGAAATCAGGAAAGCAAAACGTAACAGCTTTAGAAAATTCTGCGAGGATATTAACTCTACACCTGAGGCAGCGAGACTGCACAGGGTCCTGGCAAAAGGGAGAGTTGATACAGTTATGGCATTAAAGAAACCAAATGGAAGCTTCACGGAAAGTGAGGAGGAAAGAGCTCGCCTCTTACTCGAAACTCACTTTCCTGGAAGCACACCTTTTCTAATGAGGGACACAACTAAGGTAAGCAGACCCCCAAGAGAGGCCGCTGTAGTGGCCAAGCATATATGCAGCAGAAATCGGTTAAGGTGGGCCGTAAACACTTTTAAACCGTTTAAGTCTCCAGGTGTGGATGGAATATTTCCTGCCCTGCTTCAGCAGGCACAGGAGGAATTACTACCACATATAATCCGGCTATCCCGGAGCAGTCTGTAGCTGGGATATATACCAGAAGCATGGAGAAGGGCCAGAGTCACCTTTATTCCAAAAGTAGGGAAAAAGGATACCACACATCCTAAATCTTTCCGTCCAATCAGCCTCACATCCTTTGTATTAAAAACAATGGAGAAGGCTGTTGATAACTATATCAGAACAGAAGTCCTGGAGAGGGTGCCACTCCACCACAGCCAACACGCGTACCGAGCAGGAAGATCTACAGAAACTGCCCTGGTACAGTTGACTGATGTAATCCAGGATGCACTGACAAACAAAGAAACGGTCGTGTGTGCCTTTCTAGACATAGAAGGAGCTTTTGACAACACGCCACACGAATCTGTAAAAAGAGCACTTGCATACAGAGGAGTAGATAACATCACATCCAGATGGATGGCTCAGCTGTTATCTTCGAGAACTGCAGAGACACAGATAGGGCAGGACACCATCTCCATCTGCACAACCAGAGGATGTCCACAAGGAGGAGTTCTATCCCCACTAATGTGGAGCCTAATCGTAGACGAACTTCTATGCAGATTGACTGACCTCGGCATACCCTGTCAAGGTTATGCCGACGACATAGTCATATTTGCTAGTGGCAAGTTTAGTAATATCCTGTGCGATATAGTCCAAAGAGGACTAGAACATACCAAAAGATGGTGCCGTGAAGTGGGACCCTACAAAAACAACACTAGTAGCCTTTTCAAGGAAAAGAAAACTTAATCTCAAAACCGTTAAATTAGACGGGATAGATATAGAATGGAAAAATGAAGTCAAATATCTAGGCCTAACCCTGGACAACAAACTTCTCTGGAACACACATGAGAAGGAAGTAGTAAATAAGGCCACAAAAGCCCTAATGGTATGCAGAAACATGGCGGGTAAACGATGGGGATGTAACCCAAACATACTGCGATGGATGTATACTGCAATAGTGAGACCAATCATCACTTACGGGGCTATAGCCTGGAGTAACAGAACTAGTTTAGTTACTACGAGAGCTAATATCTCTAAAGTATAAAGACTAGCCTGTGTTTGCATTACTGGTGCAATGAGAACCTGCCCTACGGCCGCAATGGAGGTGATCTTAAACCTCACCCCTCTACATTTGATGATAGAGAATGTGGCAAAAAGGACACGATATAGAATGATCAGGAGCGGAGTAATCAGACGAAAGTCTACTTGCTTCAGGACTAAAGATACCTGGGACATGCCCCAGGATGAAATGCAAAAGAAGTACAGTTTTGTGAAAAACTTCAAAACCACAGAGCTGGGCTGCAAGAAAGAATGGAGCCAAGAATCCATCGCGCTTGCAACCGAAAGACGTGCTATTCAGTGGTATACGGACGGTTCCAAAACCATAGAAGGAACTGGAATAGGAGTGTATGGGCCGAGAACCAAGCACTCCGAAAGCTTGGGAAAATACCCAAGCATCTTCCAGGCGGAAATGCACGCCATCGAGAAGTGTATCCAGTTTAACATCGAGAGAAACTATCATAGACAAGAGATTATCATCATGTCCGATAGTCAAGCAGCCATCAAAGCGCTGAGTTCTTACGTAATCAGCTCAAAAATGATATGGAGATGCCTAGAACAATTGAATGAGCTAGGCGAGAAAAATAGAGTTACTCTCACTTGGGTCCCGGGACATAACGGGGTACAGGGTAACGAGATTGCAGATAGTCTTGCAAGGAAAGGGGCTTAAACACCCTTTGTAGGACCTGAGCCGTTCTGCGGTATCAGCAGTAACATAATATTAGAAGAGATTAAAAAAGAATTGGGTAGTAGAAGAACCGATAATTGGAACAATCTCTTGGGGCTGAGATAGGCCAAGATACTTCTGGGTGAATATAACCAAAAAAGATCGGAAGCCTGTATCTGCCTGAGCAAGAACAGGCTACGTATTGTAACAGGGATCCTTACCGGGCACTGCCGACTAAAAGGACACCTAAGTAAACTGAGAGTAGTAGAGGACAGTGAAAGCAGATTCTGTGAGGAGGAGGACGAAACCTCCATTCACATCCTAACTGAATGTGTAGCACTCCAGAATCCAAGGGCACTATATCTAGGAGGATATCAAATAGAAGAGGGAGACTTACCTAACTTAAAGCCACTTCAAATCCTACACTTCCTTGAGAAAATAGGATTGGAAGGGTCGCTATAGGCATTGAGACATTTCCTTAGTGCAGTGGCGACAGAAGGGGGCACAATAGATCTTTTAGGTCGCAGTGTATTAACACCCCATTATCAACATAACATCACACAAAAGGGAACGATGTTTAACTTCTAGAGGTAATTTAGCTTTTACATGATTTATAAAGCAAGAGCCTATTTCTTGTGCGCCTCTTCCAGCTATATTAAAATATTACCAAGTGGGTTGGTAGGTTTCTACAAATTATAAGTATAATACCAAGTGGGTTGGTAGGTTTCTGCAAATTAGAAGTTTGATCAAAATAAATATGTGGGTTAGTAATTTAAGGTTTTATAGGGTGGATAATTAATTGAGAGTTGGTAGGTTTTTACAGAATGCAGAATGCGTATTATATTAGTCAAATCCGCACCCAACTCAATATTTGGTATATTGTGGTTTGGTAGCTTTCTGCATAACGCCGTCCAACTAATCCACAAAAGAGAGACATCAAATGCTTAATTATTTTGTAGAATGTATAAAAAAAATAAACAAACTAAATGTCTGATTGTGTTGACCTGCTTTCAAGGTCTCCTAAAAACAATGTAACTAAAAAAGGAAAACATTTTGGAACTTATTTAAAAAACAAGATAAGGCGTCTAGATTTTATTATATAAATAAACAATAATAATTGCAACTTATTACAGTCTCGCAAGAATACTAAAAGTGAGAAGAATGGCAGTTGTAGCGGATATATTGATTGTCGGATGTGTTGCATTATTCTTGCACTGGTGTTTCGATATTTACAAGAAAAATAAGAGGTTAGCACACATACCTGGACCTCCCCCGATTCCATTTTTTGGAGTAAAGTTGCCAATGAATAGTTTCGGTAAGTCAAACATCGATGTTTGGGTAATGTACAAAACAAATCTCCTAATTCAAACACTTTTTCTCGTGATTCACCAATGTAATGGTACGTTTACATCTGACATTTATTGCATGATATTTATGTCTGACAGTTGTTTAGTCCAGTGTAAACACTCAAACATATATCTCCGACAGAAATTTTTGTGTGTTTACACTGGACTAAACAACTGTCAGAAATAAATCTCATGCAATAAATGTCAGATGTAAACGTACCTTAAGCAAAAAGTAAGCTGACTGATTTCTTTCTGACGTAAGCTACTGAGAAGTACTTCTAACTGTTTTAATTCATACCTTTTCAAAATTTAAATTTTTTTATGAATATACCAATTAAAAACACCAACAGGAGTTATATTAAGAAAGTATATGTTTAAATAAAAGGGCCTGTAAAAGCTTGAAGCTTACCAACTTCTTTGAACCATTTGTTTTAAGATAGCCCCTCAAGAACTAATTTTTTATTAGTTTACTGTGATTCATTTTTTAAACCAAAAATATACAATTTAGTGTACGTATCCGTTCTTTAAATATTTTGAATAAAATAATTTTGACACTATTCTGCTGTACAGTATGCAACAAGTCTGTTAAAATACTTTCTTTTGACAAATGTGAATGTTGTTGCATGAGCCGTATGTGAATGCGATAATCAATATTTAATTATTGTTAACTTGAAGAGGCATTCATTAAAAAAAACTCCCGTGCAATATAAAAGTTAAACAAAAACATATTTATAAATCATATCTCGCTGTATACCTTTTAATTTGGATGTTTTTTTTTTTAACAAATAAATTATAAAATTAATTTTAAATAATTTAGCGAAATTACTGTATGTAAAAAATAACAAAATGTACAAACATAAAACAAAATAAATTTAAATCACTTAAGTAGTGTTTATCACTTGTAACTAGCAGAAAAAGATATTAATTTTGTTGATGTCACCCTCTAGACTATAGACGAAAAAGCTTTTTTCTACAAACGTTAGTAAAAGTATAATTTTTAACGCATGCTGTCAGTGTCTAAAATGCCATTTTATGATACTGGTGTGCGAGAAATTTGTCGATTTGTTCCCTTGTCAATACTTTTGACTTTTTCGGTCGATATCCTTCACCCGTTCGCTTCAAAAAAGCCACAAGCTTGTAATATCTGCTTATGTCCTGAATATTTATGTTCATCATCGACTTTAACATTGAGTAATTTGACCAAAGCTTTGACGACTTCCATATTTTTGACTTTTCTTCAAAGTATGCAAGAAGCATCTTTTCACTGGCTTCCTTGCCACTGATATTTTTCTGATCACACCATTTCAAGAAAGGATCGTATGAAAATTCGTACTGTTGCTTTGACTTACTAGGCAATAATAATTCAAAAGCAGCTTTATTGGCAGTTTCTTCAATTTCCGGTGGTAGAAATTCATGTTCTTGATAACTTTTCATCGAGGAACGAAGAAACGAGAAAGATTAATTCGTGATTTATTGACGTTAGCTGTCAACAAAGAGAAATCAACATATTCGGTTTTTGTTTACCTTTTGGCAACTTGTTTCATGAATAGATTAGATGAAATTGGATTTAAAACTGATAATCTCGAGGCTATTATTTTATCAATTAATTAATGTAAAATAGGTATGCGTTAATTTGGACTTTAGTGTATGATATACGTGCTAAAAGTGACTTTATTTTGTTTGAAGGGATGGAACACTCCGCCTTTGGCGTCGTGTTCCAAACTTCCCTTCTCACAAAATAAAATATCACTTTTAGCACTTATATCATAAATAACTATTAAGGAGGTCCTTTCGCCACACCTCTCGCCTCAAATGTTAAAAAAAAAGTTATTAGATTATGACTAAAATTAATTTTTTTCTAATAGTTGAAGTCCTTATTTATCTAATACTGAACTTTTAACTATACCTTACCTTGCAAATTTTTGAGAATTTTTTTTTTAATGTGAATATTTGTATAGTGCCTCACGAGAAAGTAAGTCCTCAACAACAATTCTCGAATTATACTATTATTTATTGATTAGATGGAGTAGAAAAAAACTAAAAATAAGGTTTTGGAAATATTTAGATTTTGTTTTATACAATAAAATATATATAGTAAACCGTGGAACTTATTGAGAAATTAATATTAAAAAAATCACAAAAAATTTTCAAGTAACCTAGTTGAAAGTTTTTTGTGATTTTTTAATAATAATTTCTCAATAAATTCCACGGTAACCTATATATTTTATTGTAAAAAACAAAACCTAAATATTTCAAAAACCTTATTTTTAGTTTTTTTCTTCTCCATCTAATCAATAAATAATAGTAAAATTAACTATAATTCGAAAATTGTTATTGAAGTCTTACTTTCTCATAAGACACTGTAAAACACACACATTTAAAAAAAAAATCTTAAAAATTTGCACGGTAAGGTATAGTTAAAAGTTCACTATTACATAAAAAAGGACATCTACTATTAGAAAAAAATTAATTTTAGTCATAATCTAATATTTTTTATTTAACATTGGTGGCGAAAGGACCTCCTTAAAGTACTTTTTTTAAATTTTTATTGTAAGAAAAACAAATGCTCCTATAGGAAGAAATTAAATGTATTTTTCCCTTCTAGCCCTTTTTAACATTTCTATTTCTTTTCGTCAGAAAAACATGTTTTTGGATTTTTTTTTCAAAAGAAACTTTATAATTTTCAAAAAGTGACTATTGAGGAATACGGATTCAGTCTTTACCTGTACTTACATAATTTTTCTTGTAGTAAAAATAAATAATAATCTGTGAATTTGGTGTACTATAAAACTCTTGCATATATGTCAATTTTAGTATTACAGAAATGATTTACGTAAAAAAATAAGTTGTACAAATACGCAAAATTCATTTATTCCTCGTAAAACATTCGTTAAATATAATATAAATTGTTCTCATTAACAAATATTAATTTCTTAAAAATCTAACAGAGGCGCCACTTTCTAAACGAAAAACCTTGCAATGTAAGGGCTTCGTAGTACTCCACTTTTAAAGCTTATTTTTGAGTATTTTTAAATGAAAAAAATATGTACGTGTAGATAAAGGTTACATCTGTGCTCCACTGGCACCACTTTTTCAAAATTAAATTTAGTTTCTTCTAAAAAAAATTGAGAAAATGGTTAAAAAAAGTCGAGTTTTGTATTTTGTTTTAGAAAAAAAAATCAAATTTTGAAAAATTATCTTCAGAAGAGCACAGATTTAACCTTTAACCCATTCAATGCCACTGACGAGGTATATCGCATAATGATACCCTTATTCAAAGGCCATTGACGAGATATACGCATGACGATACCTTCATCCACAGGCCATAAACGAGTTATCTCGCAAGAACTGACCACATGTTTATTTTTCACGGACAAGAAATTTTGTAAAACAAACACTTTTGTAGAAATACGTAACATATATTTCTTGCTCAATTACATGTTTAATTAATTAATTTATTATACAGGGTGTCCCAAAAGTTATATGGATCTGAAAAATACATAATTTAAAAATATTTTTGGATATGAAGGGTGTTGCATTTTTGTATGGCAAATAAAAATGTATATTTTTTTAAATTGAACATCCAATATGGATTCAGATTTCGCAGCCATAGCTCTCAAATTCACACACAATATAACATCCTGTATTTTATTTAATTTTTAGAATATTAGAATTGAGAAAATCGTAACCTCGCGTTTTGACACACCCTATATACAACATAGCAAATAAATGAAGTCTATTAAAACTGTTTAATGATGTAAAAACAATCAAATAAGTATAACTACCTGCAGAGTAGTATAGTATAGGCTTGGTCAGCCCCTTGTTTATGGAATATCCTGTATATTTAAGAATAATAGTTAAATATGGTCATATTTGTATTGCCAATAATAAAACTGCTCTCGGTCCATTACGCACTGATGGGACATCCTCTGTATATGTGTTATTGGCTAACATGTTGGTATCATTGGACAGGCTAATTTATAAGGGACTTAATAATGTAGAAAATATTGCATTTGAAAAAAATTGAGTAAATTGAACTTAAATTTAACCATATTTAAGAAATGTTTCAAAACACTCTGTATAAAATATTCCAGTTAGATCACCAGTATTCGTTAGCTTACTATCTAATAAGTCTGCATTTAAACAAAATTGAAATCATTGTAAACCTACCTAAATTATGATAATTTAATTTGGTGTCTGCATCATTCTCTCATTTCATAAAAATTTAATTGCTTGGCAAACCTGTAATATTTAAAATCAAAAGTCAAGTACAGTAGTACAGTATTACCAAACCATTCTAAAACTGAAATAAAATACAGAGTGTTCAATTTAAAAAATATATATTATTATTTGCCAGGCAAAAACGCAACACCCTGTATATCCAAAAATATTTGTAAAATACGCATTTTTTAAATCCATATAACTTTTATTTAAAACTTGTTTGCGTGTCTACAACTCATATTGAAATATTGAACAATTACCCTGTATATACAAGGTGTCATATTTTAACAGAGTAATATAGATACTAAAATAGGAGTAAAAGTTCATATAAACATAGGTTTGAAAACGTTTCGTTTTCGAGATACAGGGTGTTACAAGTGAAGTCCTGATGGCACTTTTTGTAAATATTTTCTAAATTTTCTTTAGACATCGGTTTTCCAAAGATAAAAAAATTTAATTTCTGATTCCACAGGCCTACTAATTATTGTTTACACTTTCGAATAAGATAATAATTTACCCACCTATGCAGATGAATAAAAACTGGGGTTTAGTCCACTAAATAGCCCGTAAAAAGGTAAGCATTTGTACCAAATTTCACTTACTTTTCTTTAAAAATTTAGAAAATATTTACAGAAGTGTGTCATCAAGACTTCACTTTTAACACCCTGTATCTCGAAAAAGAAATGTTTGAAAACTTATGTTATATGAACCTTTACTCCTATTTTAGGATGTAGATTACGTTGTTAAA